CTCGCGGGACGGCCCGGCCGCTGCCCGAGGAGCCGCTGCCGGGCACGCCTTGTGGTGCAGCTCCAGGGGGACGAGCAGCAGCTTCTCAGGAGAGCTGCGTGGTTTAAACGGGGCCGCCTGGCGTTGCTGCAGGGCCTCCCCGCCACCCTGCTCAGCCCTGAGAAGCTGTCCAGCTCTGCAGGGGCACCCGGGTGGGGACACCCAGAGGACGCACGGCCCATGCACTGGGATCCTGTCCCTGGCCCACTGGGAGCGAGGAGTCCTCTCATGCCTGGCCCGCGAGTGAGCCTGGGCTGAGCGGAGGGCGACGTGTCACCTCACGGGCAGACGAGAACGCGTGAGCCGATGGCCAGCAGAGTGCCACTTCAGGGCAGTTTGACCTCCGGGGCTTGCTCGTTTGGTGCGGCTGCTCCACGGGTTTGTAAGGGAAAGGAAACCCACGTGATTTAAGTACCTTTTCATCTCGACGGGGACTCCGAGAGACAAGCCGCTTTCCTTGTTGCACAGGTGTGTGAACCGCCCAGCTCAGCAAACCCTGAGTGTGGGAAGGAGCCGCTGTCCTTCCCCACCACCCGCCTCTTCCTCCCCGTCCCGTCCCTTCTCCAGTCTTCCTCTTCTGGTTTCACTCTTGTGGGTCTTGCATTGGATATGCCGAAATTCTTTGTCTCTTTTTATAATATAAAGCCAAACAATGACCATGAATCCATGATGTTCTTACGCGGGGTGGGAATTACTCGTGCGTTTCCACGCGTGGCTCTTTAAGCTGGGTGGAGTTCTTGCTGGCGCGCAGAGCTCCTCTTCAGCTACTGATACCTGGCATCTTGTCCCTCAGTGCTTAAGAGCAGGCCGGTGAGGAGCCTGGGCTGAGACCCCCACAGCAAGGCGGCTGCCCTGGCCGGCAGCTGGAGCACATCACTGAGTTGCAAGATCCTTGCAGAAACGGAGCATTTTTTTAGAGAGGTTTTTGCCATAGGGCATGTATACTAACTGGAGAGACCGAGAGAGACAAAGAGAAAGCGAGAAATCACCCCCGGTGGGGATGGCCACGCCGCAATCCCTTCTCTTCCAATCTCCTCTTGGAATTTTGTACACACACGCACACGCGCCCAGCATGAGTTTCAAGCCACCAGGTCCAGGACTTGAACCGCCGTCGACTACGTGGGGCTCCAGCAACCTAACCATTACACCATCTGCTGTCCCCCAGGCATGAGCACGTACCTCCCTGCACGTTTTATCAGTTAACTCCTGTTCATCTCTGAGCTGTGGTTGAGAGTGACGATGTGACACACAATAACCGACGCCTCACCGTCTGTGGTTCTGCATGCACATACACTAGCTCCCAAGATGTGGGGACTGTTTCTGTCAGTTTCTCTCTACTCGCTAATCTCCACCTGAGTGACACTTTCAATTAGAAGAGAGAGATCTTGCTCTCTAAATTCCTAGTGCAGAATTATACATGTGAAAGAAACTACACAATGTTTACTGACCGCTAATTAAATCAACAAATTGGGCTGGCCAGGTGGTTAGGGGGCTGGACCCCCCATGACCGACTGCGTGGTTAGAGTCCCAGACCTGGTGGCTTGAGAAAGACACCAGGCGTGTGTGTGCACACCCAGTCCCGAAAGGAAGGACGGAGAAGGAAGGTTTGGGGCCTGGCCATCCCCCGTGGGGGTGCTTCTCACTGTCTCTCTCCCTCGCTGTCTCTGTGGTGAGCACATGTGCCCTTGAGAAAAGACAGCCCGGGAGGCCCGTGCAGCAGGACCCCTTCCAGCCCACGGCCCAGGGCAGTCGTGCGGAGGGAGTGACAGATTGGAGGAGGGATGTGATGAGGATGGACGGGGGCAAGGGCAGGCCCCTGCAGGCCGTGGGGGGTGTTCGGTACCGGCCTTTGGCGTGTCAGAGGGGAAGGTCACTGTGGTGCGTGTGTACCGTCAGGGAAGCTTATGGGGTCGCTGTCCCCAGCGGGAGACCCCGGGGTGGACTCGGTGGACTCCATGATGACGGGAACTTGCGCTCCCTGCTCCTCTCTGACCGCGGTCACGCTATTTGAAGGTAATTGTCACAGTCAGCTAGCAGGTGAGGGGCCCTGCCCTGTGGGCCTCTGACAGGGACATGTGCCTGGCTACCCTGTGGGCCATGTGAGCGCACCTGCGTCTGGGGCCTGGCTGCGTGTGCCAGAGCGGAGGGTGCGCCAGGCCGTGCACAGTCAGTGCCTGTAGCTCGTCTGCACACCCCACGGCTCCAGGCCTGGCGGGCGCATGCGCAGAGTGGACGCCTCAGCTGTCTCCCAGCTAACCAGGCCCCGGGGGCCCCATCCGGGCTTCAGGACCCTCCCTCGCATGCCTGTTGATGGACGAGGCTGGGCTCTCCCATCTGCCGGGTGCGGGCTGGGACTTCAGCTCCTGCATGATGTCCTTCATAGACCGGGGTCCAAGCCTCGCAGGCTGCCTCCCCACACAGGCTCTGTGGTGTTTGCAGATGGCCGGCCGTGTGGACACACAGACCATGTGCACAGCCTGTCCCCGGGGCTCAGCAGCGGTGCGGCTTCATCACAAGCAGACAGGTGAGTGTGGTGTGGGACCTGCTGCTGCGAGCTGGGGGCAGCGTGTGGGGACCTGGGCTCGGAGGTCCCGGAGGTGTGAGGCACTTTCTCCCTGGTAGCACTCGTCCAGATGGTTCGGGGCTCCAGCCACGTAGCGAAAGCCAGGTGTGCCCGTGTCCTGCCTCGCGCCCACTGCACCCAGGTGGCCTGGGCAGGCAGGCCTCTGCTGTGCTGTGGGCGTCAGGCAGCAGGCTTTGTGTCAGCTTTTCTCGGTGGCGAAGGCACATGTCGGGAGCGCACGGC